AAACAGATATAAGAAAGAGTATTTTATAAACTTATTGGTATGAAAACGCATGCAAGTGACATTTAAAAATTAGGAAACAGTTTAATACATTACTTTTTTGAGTCAACGAGAACACTTTACTTTTGTTCTAATGAACGAGTTCTGAGATTTTGTAAATATGGGGTAATTTTCAGTTTTCGGCCGCAATTCTTAATGGCCGGCTGAGGGAGGTCAGCATGTACATCTACTAAGTGGTTTGCATCCATAATCACCTTTATCTTTCATCTAAACTGTTCGCTTTTACCATTTTTCATCCATCACAATGGAGCACTTATTTGCGTTCACACACCAAATTGAGTTCCCTTATTTATATGTATACTGAAGCATTTCATAGCTGAAAATTCATTACAGTGACATACTATAATGATTTATTGCTGTAAAGGGCATAAGAAACCTTTATGTTAAAGGAATTATGCTTTTCTCGTCCATTATTTGAATTTTCGCGATGCACCTCGGTGGAACGTCCCCAAATGTGACCACCCGACAAAAGCTGGCAAGAAATTTCTCAAGGACGGTAATGTTAATAGCAGGTCTGCCTAGGCAAAAAATGAGTTCCAGAGTACTTACACCTGTGGTAATTTGGGAGACGTGTTATAGCTAGCCATTCGTTTGAATCCAGGAGATAACACTTTGGAACCGCAAAGGAGCGGTTCCCACGTACCCTACAATCAATGACAGATTGAATTAGATCAACATGTCCACCAAAAAGTGATTGGCGAACTGGCTGACTGGCTTGAGTAGCCAACTTAGAAAGAAAGGAACAAATAGCCTGAATGAATAGTAAATAGAATGATGGCTAGTATGCTTTTAACCCACGTCATTAGACGACCAGATGGGATGTGGTAGAGTGGATGCAATCTTTCGAGGCCTAACATGGAACTGGGTCACAAAGAGACAGTTACACAGATGACCGAAATATTTCACTTGATTGTTCTTATTATACTTTTCACTTTGCGTTGAATCTGTTATGGATCTTGTTCTTTGATATCTCACTTTTAACCCGATATCACCCATTAATTTAATCTTAAGTTGGTGTTGTTGCTTTTGTTCGATATGTCACTCTTTTATCTCGCTAGGTTAACTCAATATTTATCGTCTGTATATTTTCCTAATCATCCTGTGTTCAATGTTTTGCACAAGACCGTAATTCCTTGATTATGCCTTGATGGGTGCTTCTGTCATATTCGATGATAAACATTTATTTATTCATCTAACTGTGAAACGTGGTTGTCATGGTGAAATCACCAACGTGTACTCAAATGTATTGACGCGTATCTTGTTGCTTATGGTCCTTTTATCCCGACCATCTGAAGGGACCAGTCATGCGTTGGCACCCTTCCCAGCTACACACCGATTATACAAGTTAGATGTGACGGAAACTGGTGGTTCCTTAACACTGAAGCAAGTGACATCACAGCTCGAAAATTCTGCCTTACTAAATTGAAACATGCTTTCACGTGTGCAAGTTGCTCACACCTCATCAGTTCCCTTTTCATGATGACGGCGAAGTCATGCTCTCAATATATTAAATTGCCTTTAGTCCTAAGAGGATGAGCTACCGGCGGCTTACTTGTAAATGTTACGTCACACATCCGATTTAAACAATCTATGTGGCTTCATTATGTGCAGTGCTTATGCATGTACCATTGTAACGCCGAAGTTAGTGGTCCAATCCACTATTAAGTGAAATGACCTTTTTCTTAGTCCTGCTCACAGAACAACGGTCATTGCGACGCTACAGGAAATACCTGCTATTTTGTTTCTCAATGATTCGTTTGTAAACACACCGTAAAATATTTTCTTCAGTAGGGGGAATGTGTGTGAATCGAAGGCAACTGAACTAAGTTTAGAATTAATAATGAGAAGATCAGTGCACAATGCTTGCGCAAAGGAACTCATTAGCAAAAGCCCCTCATGTCGCACCCAAAAACATCAACTAGGCAGTGCGGGTGCACACATTCACGCCAGTGGAGTAACTAGGAGAAATCCTGGGGTATGAATTCTATTTCTTCTTTTAGAGTCTGGTACCAACTTATTCCCCTCCCCGGTTAGTTACCTGTGTTACCCGCTACAAAAGTCATACACGTGGTCGTACGAGAACAGCCCCCAATGAATTGTGACGAAATGCAAACATCTGAGCACATGCGATCTGTGTATTCAATAATAACAACTTCTGGAACACCCGTTGCAGTCTACTATCCAGGAAAAGCAGCTGACAGTAATTCGGCAAGATGACCTTGGTTGAACATAGAAGGTTAAAAACGAGTCCGGGAGAGCCAGTCGACACTAACATCCTACAGATAGCGTTCAGGATGCAGGAGCCCATTGTCATTTTGAAACTGATGAAGACAAAAGTGAAACCTCATGCGAAATGTTATCCAAGCCTGGTGCTCATGGTGTAAACACGATGTTGATACGCGTTACGCTATAAAACGTAGGGCGACTAAAGTCGTAAGGTACTTGTCTAGTCTGAATTAACAAATCAAACAGTAAGTTCTTGGATTTTACAGTGCCGAGTATCGGGGTTCACGAGGAGATTCCATCATTGTGTACTTAGTACTGTCGAATCCCAAACACGCATACCGCGATCCGTATAACTTTGCCATCATGGCAAACTGGGGGAGCACCAGCTCCAATTTGCTGCGCACTACAGTCAACTGAACTGTCAACAAAATTGTTTTATCCTACAGATATCCAGGACGCAAAACGGTCTTCCCAATCACATCACGTTTCTCTCTACACTGATGCTTTTATAAATTGCTTGACGACATGCTACCTCATTTCCGTTAGGTGATATAATCCGTTTCAAACCGAAGACGAAACAGTGCGAACCAAAAGGTATGCTTACACAAGCTCCAAGTAACGTAGAGATGGAGAAACATGCATCTGTTTATGTGATTTGCCAGGTGAGTTGTCCAACAACCCACTAACTCGTTCATACTGGCTCCAGGAGACAGATGGTCGTTGCTAAAGGGGACGGGGTGCATGGTCCTTGTGGCCGTGCTAGGCTCAAAGAGCGGTTCCATGCAGTCAGTGTGGAGCGGACTACGGTCCAGCCACCGCCTTGTATGCGCTTGGTTCCCCAAATACAGCGTGCTTGTGTTTGCCTGTGAAGGAGTGTGGGCCGGCTCCGTTGATGAAACGTGGCTCCCATCCACATGCCTCCCGGTCTTATTCCATCGGTTTTACACTGGAGATGGGGTGTGGTTGGAGCTGTGGGTGTTGCAACGCAAGCCACCCATGGTCCCTCTGTAGGTGCAGGCGTCCTGTGGCTAGCCACAGTGACAGGCAAATCCGAAACCGGAAGCCGTCAACCATGTCCAACAACCAACCTTTTTAATATGCCACCTTCATTTTCGGTTTTGTAATTCTCGCCCCCGTGACCTTAATGGACATTTTATGTACTAGCTTTTGTACTCGCCATAAATCATTATGCACATCCGTTTATGGGTGATCCTACCTCAAAAACATAACGTTATAAGTCCTCTCCACATGGTGCACCATCTAACCGTGTAGCAACTTCATTCACCAGATGGAATTACACATCTATACATGCTAGCACAAGTACTTACTGCTCGCCGGTCATTTCATATCTAACGTGGAATTTTGAGGACCAGAATTCTATGGCTCAGTTTACGAACCAGGTTACTTTGTAACTATATCACTATCTAACGCCTATCAAGCCAAACTTATCGTACTCACATGTCTGAAACCATATTTTTGTGATACTAAAGGCGTGTGCGCTTACGACTGAAGGTTCATGAGTCCTGAGTGCATCACTTGACTTGGCTTGAAGTAGATGTCGCAAACAGCTTTAAACTCAATAGTTATTTTCACTTTGATGGAAATAATTTATGCAGTCACTTCTCATATTTAAACATGAAAGTATGACAGTCGCTAATTTGGATTACTTTCTTTCCTTAATCCAACATGCAACTATAAATCTCGTTGCATTATGCCTTTAACCTAATCACCTTGTAAATAATTGCCTCTACAGTCGTTTGTTCAGATTGCGTAAAACTCGGCTTCAATAAGAGCAGACTTCGGATCTTCTCGGCTTGTGGATTTGATAAATCCAAGCTTAGGGGGATTGATGAGAGAGTTACTGACATCAGTCAAGATCTTATGAAAAATGTTGGTTATATTTGATCGGAAGATGCTAACTGTGGCTCAGATGGCAATCGTTCCTTTAAAGAATTGCTATGCCGGTCGCAATTCACAGCTAAACGTACTCAAGTCTTTGTAACGATCGGTGTTTACGTGTGGCGGGCTTTTCATAACTAGCGAATATCTAACGTCTACTGTGATATGCATCGCTGCATAGTCATGCAATAGCTCGCAATTGGAAATGCGTGTTTAGTCTGATCAAGGAAATTTAAGCAATCGAGGTGTTGAAAATTCAGAAAGTACCTTTCACTATACCTATATCCTTCACTTTCCTCTTCCTCCTTTGACGTCCATCGTTAATTAATTGTATACGGCTCTTTATACATTTAATTAAGCTAGGGTTTAATTTCCAAAACATAATTCACTGAGTTTTGGGTTTTTACTAGTTACCAGCATTCGAATGACACGAAACGTAGTGTTACTGAATTCGCAACCTATTCCTCAGAGCAATTTTTACAGATTGGAATCCTCTACTTATCCCTTTCATTCCCACTCAAAAGAAGCCCTCTAATGTTGAGACGGAACATTTTGTCGCAGTGGTACTTCCGGTGGTACGAACAGTGAAATCTGTAGCTTCCCGCGACGAACAGCTGGGGAAAATCCGTAGCCTCCAGAAGTCCTCCCGACCACCTGTCCCAGCCTAGGCTACGTCATACGAACTGGCAGTGCGCGCGTGTCGAAGCATGATAACGCAACTTGGACACGATTGGCTGTCTATGGAGCCAATGGACTATGGGCTATCAGCTGACTGACCTTGATCAGCTCATGACTGCTCCGCCATTGGGTTAGCATGTACACATGTGTTGTTTGACGCTTCGGGTGTTGACCATGCCCATGCTCCATTTCGATGACTCGATTGGGGGTGACCTTTGTCTGCAATCGGATCTACTTGAATTCATTTTTTGAACAATCTACATCGATATGACATTAACACGTCCGAAATGACTGGCGGACACTTCGGCTGCGTTGACCTATGCATAACCATAGCACTATTGGAAATAGCACATGCTTTCAAGCCCGAACAGAGTGAGTTGGATGATTCACTTGTTTTATGTTTTGGGCAGTGTACTTTATCCAACTTCCCATTTGGTAGTATTTGAACTGCTGCGAAATCCACGATTGTGCTTGTGCTTTTCCTCTTGTGTCTGCGCTTCGTGTAAAGCTCGGTTACCGTAGCTGTTTTGGTTAAATTTTTGGATGAATGAACTGTCGCTCAGTTTAGTTGGGCCCGGAACAATAGGAGAATCTTGTGAATGTTCCTTCTTCTGCGTATCGTTGAACCAAGAATTGATGGCGATTTGGGATTGTGAGAAAGCAAACAAACCTATAGCTCACGATCGACGCCCGCGTTACGCGTGTGTCTCAAACCAACGGGAACAAACTTCAAACAAGCATGCCGCTTAATTCTCTAATACATACAAATATATTTATAAATATTTTAGAATAATTTAGTTTTACGGGTGAAACTCCATGTCATTAAGAAACCCTATCACACCCTGGTCAACCAGTTACTGTCCCCATATCGTGCCCAGCAGTCCCTGCCGGGCCGGGTACCTGAAGTAAAGAAGAGTGAATGTTAAGCCAAGAAAGCAAGCAAAATAATGTCAACCAAAATAATGGTAATACTGAGGCAGAACAGGAACTGGAAGAAACAGAAGTTGAAGATACAAGTCAGTAAGAAAGAGTAGCTTTTGTATTACCCCCCAAGTGCATCTGAGGCTCGAAACCCTCAACCGTAGATTCCCTAACGACGTGCTCCGGAAGCGACTTCCAACATCCAAGCAATAGGTGCGACAAGCGAGTTTCCGTCCTAACCCGATCAGAACGCAGCTTCAACACGTGATCGCGGAGACTAAGCAACTTAACGGGACTGAATAGCCAGGATAAGCCTGGGCCGATCTATCCATGGATTTGCTTTCGGACTCCCCACACTCATTCTGGTGAACTAAGCGGTGGCAAAATTGTTATGGCTCTTGCATTTATTTCCCAAAAATAACTAACAACTGCAGTGTGGTTCAGTTCGGTTAAACAACTATGATCCAAGCACCAAAGGAATAGTGATACTAGTAAATCGAGAACAAGTAGCAGTTTACATCATACTATGGAACTGAGTCGGTTCGTAGCCTAAAGGTAACAAGCTTGTCATGCAATCTGACGGCGCGGGTCCGAGCCTGCGTAGGGGCAGGGAGACCATCGCAGTATCCTTAGCCCACGTGCGACCGGTGGTGCATGCGCTGCAGCGAAGTTTCGGTACCGCGTATCGGCGTACTGCTGTTGCCCCTCTTTATGGAACAGTGAAGTCACAAATTGGAACGAATGCAGCAGGGCCCCTCTCTTTGTAACCGCGCCCTAACCGATAGGATATCTAACGACTGATGTGGCCGGCCCCGAGGACTCCATTCAAGAATATGAAGCACCGGTTCGGCTCAACCGGTCGGTGAGCTACTTTGTGCTCCTCTTCCATGTCATTTACGGCACGTCGCTAGATCTCACCCGGCCAAGTGCCGTGTTGCAAACAGCGTACGCCTAAGAAGGCTGCTTCCTGGTATACGAGGAACGTGATCCTGCCAACCAAGCCAACTGGAGTTCAACAGTCACTCCATTGCGGCACCGGAGAGTCCCTTGTCAAACACCCACTGTCTTAAGAAAACAAATGAGCCTTCGAAAAACGTACAGTAGTCTTTTCGCTGATGTGGCCGTCAAAGATGACACGACCACCCAGCTAAATAGATCGATTACAACCGGGCCATTTTACACTACTAGTGAGAACTGGTGGTGACTCGGCCCAGCTCTTTGTCTTCTGAAGAAGCAAAACGCTTGCCAGCGTAGTGATACGCGTCAATTTATCTAGTGGTCTTGGCATAACCGTTGGTTCCAATCCGTGTGTTATAACTTCCAAGGCCGATGAGCAAACAGAATCTCTATCCAGAAAGGGACGGAAATAAGCAGGAGTCATGCGTGATAGAGCGGACAGCAACTATGAAAAGAAGTTAAACAGCTGTGACGCACCGCTTATTTTGGCGAGCACAAGTGGCAGTTTCCTTTATTCCCTTACATGATCCCCGTGAATAGCGGTATAATTTAAAGCAAAAAGAATGCTTTCGAGCACATCTTTCAAAGCCACAAGATCTGCAAAACCAAATGCAGATTCAAATCATGGAACTGTGTTTGGTCATGGATCATTGATGCGGTGCTTATACATGTTCATTTTTTCACCTTCCATAATTGCCTACAAGCTCATCTGTATGAGATTCTACCGGTGATTTGCGTCCGAATAGACAGTAGTAGATTAAACTTGGTCTCGTGAGTAGATGCGGAACCCGGTTAAAGTAGTTTTACTGTTCTCTGAAGTCAATGACCACAATTCCACGTTGTTATTTTATTTGCTTTTCTTAAATTTGGCAGTTTATCACAGAAACTGATAGCTAAATGTATGCACCCTGAAGACGTATTATGATATTAGTGTCGAAACGATAGTGTTTATAGTATTTGCAGCTTTTGGACGACGAAGAAGCAGGTACTATTGTTAAACTTATATTACACACAGAACGCCATCAATGGTCAGTTTTGCTGAATGAATAACTGTCGAACCACTACTTCTCCGTCCATGTACCATCTCGTAGTAACCCGACGCCTTCTGTTGTGACGTTCGTCAATAGTGGCTGGAAGTCAGACCAAGTGGAACGTCATGGACTGCAGCCCATGGTCCACTCACCTCAGCGGTAGTTGCTGAAATTTGATCTGTTTGCTTCACTCACGAACGGCAGCACACCAACATGTTGACCGTAGATTATCATGCAAACTTGACAGATACAAGGCGCCTCGTATGTGCTGTTTTCTGGTTTCCACCCTGGTGGTCCCCCCAAGCAACCGGACGCTCACGTAGTCCTATGGTCCATCTAATCGAACTAATCTCGGTCGGTTTCGATTACCAGGTTGCTGGTAAAAAAAGACATTTCACTCAGATTAGTTTTTTGAAGCCAACAGATACTGCTCGGTATCCACTAGCCGGTCACTCTCCATGAGCGTACTGCGTGTTACCCGAACTGTTTTGGAGCTGTATGCAGTATATGCCCCTTGGAAAACTGGCAACAACCTGACGTTTTCGTCAATAAAACTGGAACTGCAAGCTTCGAGTTTGTATATGATCGCTTCTATTCTCCATGCTCGATCTCACATTGCTGTGTGCACAACAGCTGGTTTATCTCCGACCGGCGTCCTGATTCCAACGCCTATTCTTATTAATGACTGTACATTTTGCTCATTTTCTCTTACGGAAAACGCAACCCGTCCCAATCTGCGCACGCGTCACATCTGCCCGAGTTTGAATGCATTTGCGCGTGTTGTACAAGGCCCCACTTCCCTGGCCTAGTTGGCAAGTAATGTGATAGCGACTACGTGGCTATGGTTCTCAAGGCTATACACAATTAGAACCGTGTCTGAACGCCTGGGAACAAAGCAGACAAGCCGGTATTCAATTTGTATATCTCACGGTCCCGGTCGTGGGAACCTATGTGTTGCATGGAACAAGTGCGATGTATCGTCTAATTTACTACCTTTATACGACTTTAGCACTCACATTATATTAGTGACTGCCCGAGTGATTCGCAGTTCCTTTTTCATACAATGATGCACCAACCCCCTCCCTAAGTGCTCATTTGACTAAGGCTTCTCTGTGCTGTGCACGCATCCGTTCCGTGTTGCTTGTACCATCGCGATTCCCCGGCTGAGTCATTTCTACGGGGGGTCTCTGTTCTCTACGGCTTGACTGTGAAACCATCGTCTAAGGCTCGTTGGTGTCGTACGCCACAGTGCACTTTTGGTCCAGACAGGTGAGTCTCGCGGTCCATGAACAATCAAAAAATGTGAGACCTTATGTGTGCGACTACGTTAGGGGCTTGTGAACGCCCGTACTCTGAACCGCAAATCTCCGCGTGGGTCATGACCACATCTTGTTTTGTGCATAAAGCGAATGTTCAACTACAAAATGAGTGAATAGATACAGCTCGTGAAACATCAAGCTAATCTAGCTTTCGTTTTCCGAATTCATTGTTCAAACATAATGCAAAGTCAACTTCGCCTGGATGATGTTTCGCCCTACTTTACTTAGTTCGAATCGCAACCTTTTCAGACGGCATTCAGCTAATTTGTTATGAACTCGTCCTGTTTTGCGATATTTAAGGAATTTATTAAAGTGATCTCTCTTGATGTCCTTATTGCCGTTACTCTTGAGGGACCTGTTACTTATGGTAGAACTGGCGTGACCTGGCTTTAGGAAGACAACGCAGCCACAGACAATCGAAAAAGTATAATCTCAAGCCGATTGACCGATGCGCATGCCATGACAGTGGTTCAGTAGCGACACCTGGAATGGACAGTGTGTTTACGGTCTCGTGACAGACCAGTGGCAATGTCGCAGTGGACTTGATGATGGTGTGTGTGCTTCCGTTTCGGGGAGATTCCTTTGCACACACCATCATGACTAAGCCTATTGCCCTATTGTCGCGGATTCACTTCGCTTGCTTCTCTTTGTGTGTATGTGTGTGAGCATGCACCCTCGTAGACATCGGCTTACAGGGTTCAATGGAATGGTCCAAATACGCCACATGTATAGTTATTTGGGAGCGCATGTAGTCACATCTGTGATAAAGCTGCGACAGGAATTGCGATCAACTGAGACATATTATTCAACCATCCTCCATGCGTACACGGACCCATGTACGGGCAAATGTCTATGCGCCCTTCTTCATACCTACTGGGCAGGCAGCGGTAGTCAAACTGCCGTTAAGAAGACATGGGTGCACACATTGAGGAGAAAAATGAGCGTGAATTATGGGCTCCTTGTGTATGTGGTAGCTTGGATATGAGTTAAACATGTGCTAGCCATGACGGCTATGTATGTATGCGCACAGTGTGAATGCCATCCACTGCCGCTGAACTAATAGCAGCAGTAATACGCCTTCGTTAGTCTGTTGGAATGTCACGAGTCAGCAGTGAAGAGTCCTCCCCTCGTTGTGTCTATTGTA